TTTTTTCCCTGAGTTCAGTCCTGTTAATCCTTATGATCCTGGCCATATTATGCCTCTTACCTTTATCTCTCTGGTTCTCAAGACTATAATGTTTCCTGTGATAGTAACAGCTAACATTTATTGAACACTTACTATTCTAATTATGTCATACATTTAGTTCCTTTAATCCTCACAGCACCTTTGTGAAGGAATACAATTATTTTTTCCCGTTTTATAGGTGATACTGAGACACAACAACTTCCAAATTCACACAGCTATTAAGGAAACAGGGATTTGCTTGCAGACAGTTCCATGTTATAGCCATTTCTGAACATCAAACTACAAATTCTATAATTTATAGATATTAAAGTCTAGTGTATAATAGAGCCGATTTATTTAAATATGACTCTCAGAACTTTTCCTCTCCCTCGTGATCCTTGCTTAATGGATGCTATGGTTTGAGTGTCCCCTCTAAACTCATGTTGAAAGAGTTGTTACTGTGATAAAATTAAAAAGTAGGACCATTAAGAGGTTACCAGGCTATGAGGAATCCACTCTCATGAATGGATTAATGTCATTACAGGGGTCATGGGTTTATTATAAAAGTGAGCTCAGCGCTCCCTGTCTCGCTCACGCACATGCTCTCTTGCTCTTCCACTTTCTACTATGGGATTATGCAGCAAGAAGACCCTTACCACAGGTGGACTCCTCAGCCTTAGAATACTCAGCCTCCAGTATTATAAGAAATGAATTATCCAATTTCAAGTATTCTGTTACAGCAGCACAAAATGGGCTAAGACAGTGGGTTTGGGGTGGATCCAGCAAGCACTCCGGGTGGTGGTTCATTGCACTCAGTTTGAAAAAACTCATTTTGAACTTCACAGGATACAAATGTCACAGTTACTATACAAAGTAACCCTGAGTTTGTAGTAACTGTGACCTTAAGCTAATTACTTAAGCTAATTACTCTCAGTGCCTTTGTCTCCTAGTCCTCAGAATAGTCATGTTCTTTTAGGATGAAATGAGATGACTGGCTCCTGCCACAAAGTGAATCTTCTTTAATAGGTTTGTTTGTCATTGTTGTCTTTGGTGGTGGACGTCATTGCAAAAAATCAGTTGACGGCGGCTACTAATGTTCAACCCTGTACTTCACTGAGTGAAATGATAATGTCTAATATGCAAAAGGTATTTCAAAGTGAAAATACATCCTATTGAATGTGAACTGTTTTTTTCAATTTCATTTTTTCAGGAATTAAAATACAGTGTGTTCTGCTGCAACATACGTTTCTAAAATAGCAATTAGATTATTTGCAATTGGTAAATAGGACAGTCATGTTGGCATAACGTAGAAGCTGTGTAGCTTTATATATGATTTACTCTAGGCAAAGGGAGGCAGAATAGTCAGAATAGAATTATAACCTTGGGGAGGAAAAGAAGCCCTTAGATTGAATGACATATAGTCAACAGGAGTTCTTTTGGAGTAGTTTTAAGAAAACTTTAAAAAATACAAAAAAATTTGAGTGCTTGTATCTAGGGCTCCCTTGCCAAAGGGGGATACTTCTGGTCTTGTATCGCTCTTAAATATTTACAGTATATATTTGGAGGTTATTCTGACCCTGGCTCTGTTTCAATGGCAAGACCATTGGCTTGGAGTTTGTCTCCTAACTGGGTTTTTTCCACCAATTCTAATTAGTATTGCAAGCATTTCTACTCAATTTTTTAAAAAAATAATTCTGTGTGAGCCACTTCTGTAGGTGGTCAAAATTATCTTCTAAGGTGTCAATATTATTTTTCGTAGGCATCTACTCCTAAAGTTTCATGTTTTAAATGGCCTTTCTAAAATCTGTTTTCCCAATAAGTTCTGTTATTTTAGGTGCCATTTTGTTTGCTATGCGAGGATTATAGGAGGCATATATCTTGTTATGACCTAAAAATCCCATTTTAGGAGCCTGAACATCTCCAGCTCTGCAATATCTTCTAGTCTCTTG